CATGTGATTCTTCTCCCCACACCAGCTCTCCAGATGATCAATCAATCAATCAACTTCTTGTCCATCATCTATTGTGTATATAGATTTTTTCCTTTCTTTTTATTTATTTATTTATTTTAAAGAGACAGGGTTTCACCATGTTGGCCGGGCTGGTCTCGAACTCCTGATCTCAGGTGATCCCCCTGCCTCAGCCTCCCAAAGTGCTGGGATTACAGGCGTGAGCCACCATGCCCTGCCTCTTTCTCTTTAAACATAATTTAGTTATTTCCTTTTTTTTTGAGACAAGGTCTCACTTGCCCAGGCTGGAGTGCAGTGGCGCTATCTTGGCTCGCTGCAACCTCTGCCCCCCAGGTTCAAGCGATTCGCGAGCCTTCGCCTCCTGAGTAGCTGAGATTATAGGCGTGCACTACCACTCCTGGCTAATTTTTTGTATTTTTAGTAGAGACAGGATTTCACCATGTTGCCAGGCTGGTCTCAAACTTCTGGGCCTAAGTGATTTACCTGCCTCAGCCTCTCAAAGTGCTGAAATTACAGGCATGAGCCACCGCGTCCAGCCTGGTTTCTTTATTTTTATCTTTATTGGAGGGCAGTCAGAGCCTGGAAGAGAGGGTCTGTTCCATCCAAACAGTCAGAGCATGAGATAGAGTCGCGGGCCCACTGAATGCACCACTACCTTGGCTAACGGCTGAGATAAAGCCAGCTCTGTTGCCTGTGTGTGCTGGTGCTGGTAGAGGGTCCTGGGCCTGTAAGTGGTGGGGAGAGAGAGGGAGATGAGCACTGATGGGGAAGAAGAAAAATTGCCTCCTCCTGTTCTTCAACCTTGATGCTCTGTTCATGGGGAGAAAGAAGAAAAAGGAGATTAGGAAAAGAATAACCAACAAGAGGCACCTGTGAGTCCTCCTCATAGGCCAGGCACCCTCACAACAGCCCTTGTAGGAAGTCACAGCCATTGCCATTTCCACCCTACAGATGAAGGGTTTACAAACTGGGATTTAGAGGCTGAGCAACGTGCTACAGCGCTGAATGTACTCCTCTAATCAAAGCCTGCACTCCTCAGCAGGATGCTGGAGGAAGACAAGGGAGAGGAAGGAAGAAATGTTCTGCAGGGGCCCAAGGCTGCTCTGTGTGGAAGAAACAGGATTACTACTTGGGAGGCTGAGGCAGGGAGTTCGAGGCCAGCCTGGGCAACATAGCAAGACCCTGTCTCAAAATAAATAAACTAAAATTATTTTTTTTGTGGCTCACGCCTGTAATCCCAGCACTTTGGGAGACTGAGGCAGGCAGATCACCTGAAGTCAGGAGTTCGAGACCAGCCTAACCAATATGGTGAAATCCCATCTTTAAAAATAAATAAATAAATAAAAATAAATAAAATTAAATTTTCTTTTTTTTTTTTTGAGACCGAGTCTCGCTCTGTTGCCCAGGCTGGAGTGCAGTATTGTGATCTTGGATCACTGCAACTTCTGCCTCCCAGGTTCAAGCGATTCTCATGCCTCAGCCTCCTGAGTAGCTGGGATTACAGGCACACGCCACCATGCCTGGCTAGTTTTTTGTATTTTTAGTAGAGACAGGGTTTCACCATGTTAGCCAGGATGGTCTCGATCTGCTGACCTCATGATCTGCCCATCTCAGCCTCCCAAAGTGCTGGGATTACAGGCATGAGCCACCTCGCCCAGCCTAAAATAAATTTTAAAATAAAATTTAAAAGGCTGGGCACAATGGCTCATGCTTATAATCCCAGCACTGTGAGAGGCCGAGGTGGGTGGATCATCTGAGGTCAGGAGTTGAGACCAGCCTGGCCAACATGATAAAACCCCATCTCTACGAAAAATACAAAAATTAGCCAGGTGTGGTGGTGCACACCTGTAACCCAACTACTCGGGAGGCAGAGGCATGAGAATAGCTTGAACCCAGGAGGCGGAGGTTGCAGTGAGCCGAGATTGTGCCACTGCACTCCAGCCTGGGCGACAGTGGGTGCGGTGGCTCACGCCTGTAATTCCAGCACTTTTGGAAGCCGAGATGGGTAGATCAATCTGCGGACAGGAGTTCGAGGCCAGCCTGGCCAACATGGTGAAACCAGTATTAAAAATATAAAACTTGGCTGGGCATGGTGGTGGACTCCTGCAATCTCAGCTACATGGGAGGCTGAGGTAGGAGAAATCACTAGAACTTGGGAGGCCGAGGCTGCAGTGAGCCGAGACCACGCCACTGTATTCCAGCCTAGGTGACAGAGTGAGAATCTGTCTCAAAAAAAAAAAAAATAAAAATAAAAAAGATGAGGGAGTGGAAGAAAGAGTGGCAGCCTGTGGTTCAGGAGTTGTCACTAATGGGCTCCCCAGCTTCCTTTCTATCATGTCCACCTAAGATGCGACTAGAAATTTCAAAGCCACAAAATCCAAGGCTACTGAGCCATTTGTGCCTGGGATTGGGGAAGGCAGCCAGCTGGGCTCTCTGCTCAACTGTTCTCCCTTGCATTTTGCCAGTTTGCTTTCTCTCTCTCTCTCTCTCTTTTTTTTTTTTTTCTTTTTTGAGATGGAGTTTTGCTCTTGTTGCCCAGGCTGGAGTGCAAATGGCGTGATCTCGGCTCACTGCAACCTCCACCTCCTAGGTTTAAGTGATTCTCCTGCCTCAGCCTCGCAAGCATCTGGCATTTACAGGCACACGCCACCACGCCCGGCTAATTTTTTATATTTTTAGTAGAGACAGGGTTTCTTCATGTTGGTCAGGGTGGTTTCAAAATCCCGACCTCAGGTGATCCGCCTGCCTTGGCCTCCCAAAGTGGTGGGATTACAGGCATGAGCCACCGTGCCCAGCAGTTTGCTTTCTTATAGGTTGTAGCCCTGGAAATAATTAACCCTCAAGAAGTCAAGTCTTGGCCAGGCATGATGGCTCACACCTATAATCCAAACACTTTGGGAGGCTAAGTCAGGGGGATCACTTGAGGCCAGGACTTCAAGATTAGCCTGGGCAACATAGCAAGACCTACAAAAAATAAAAAAGTTAGCTGATCATGATGGCACACATCTATAGTCCTCCCTACTTAGAAGGCTGAGGTGGGAGATTGCTTGAGCCCAGAAGTTAGAGGCTGCAGTGAGCTATGATCGCACCACTGCACTGCATTGTGGTGACAGACTGAGACTCTGCCTCAAAAAAAAGAAGCAGCCAAGCCTCTGAGCTTTATTTAGAAAGTGAAAATTTCACTGGCAATAAAAAAAAAGAAAGTGAAAACTTATTGAATAATGTTTCAGCAAACAAAACAATAATTTAAATGCTTACACTTAAAAAAAAAAAAAAGCTTGCACTTTGCAAATGTGTGTTCTAAAAGTTGACTATGCTTAGCTAAAATGGGTATGTCATGAGGAGTTTAACGAACAAGCCCTAGAAAAGCTTCAAAGAGCTCCCAGAATGCATAAACCTCAGCTGAGTAGAAAACAGAGCTTTTTTTCCTGTGACTTTGAACCAGTCCCTCAAATTTCAGGTGCCCAGTCTATAGGCACTGCCCGGGCAGTATCACGTCATTATACCCAGGTCTTTGATTGGTCGCTGTCTCCCTCCTGCCTTTCCCTCTCGTGCAATCTCCTGTGGATTTGTAAGGCTACGCTTCTTTCTTCCCCCTTTGCCTGAACTTTAGGCCTCTTTGCCGTTCCGCGGACCATGGCTCCCAGCCCTTCTGGAAGTCCCTGACCTAAAGACGAGGATGGCCTTTCTCTGGTGTAGAGATGGACCCGAAGCTTGCTCCCAACGCCTGCAGATCACCCTGCCAGGCCGCCCTCCCAGTCATCAGGGCACTACTCTGCTCAAAAACTTAATGTCCCCCCACTTGAAATCCGGCCAAGCTTACCCATTAGACCTGATTCACCACTTGGTCCTCACTCAGCTGTTTCTGAAATGCCTGGCCTCTGCTTCCGGCCTCTGCTGGTGCCTTTCCCTCCACTCAGAACCCTTTCCTTTCCCACACTTTCCCCCACCTATGTAGATCTCTTCAGCATTCCTGGCCCGGTCAAAGTTCCAGGGAACTTCCTCGAATGCCCCAGCCCGTATTCCAGAGCGCCTTCCCCGCAGGACTTCTGCTGGGCACCCCGCATCGTGCAGTCTGCGTTCCTTGACAGTGTCCTGCGTGAGTGGGGACAGCGGGTCTATGGAGTCACTTCTCCTCTTGGAAGCTTTTCCTGACCACTTCCCTCCCCACCCGGTCTGGGAGCCCTTCTGCAGGGCGCTGGGCCCTGGGCCCTTCCCGGCCCCCATCACCCTCACCACCGCCCGTCTCAGGACTGTCATTACCCCGGCCGGACGGCAAGCTGCCTGGGGCAACGGCGGCGCCAGCCTCGCTGTCCCGGGTGCCCCGGCCCGGGCCCAGGGCCAAGAGGGTGTTCACCGCCTGGAGTGAGCGGGGCCGGGCGTGTGGCAGCTGCTCCCAGTCCATGTCTCAACCCCGGGCCGGGCGCACCTCGTGAATCCGCCGGGCCTGGGTGGAAAGGAGCCGGCGCGCGGCGGGCGTCCTCCCTGGAAGGGTTAAGTCACCTCTCTCCCACCCCGGGAGGTGAGGGGGCGAGTCCGGCAGAAGGTCCTGTTTACCGCGGCTCCGCGCTGGGCCGGGCCCTGGGAGAGGGGTTGCCGTGGCAACCGGCCGGGCGCCCGCCAGCTGCGGATTAGCTCACTGGGCCGGGCGGGATGGGTCTGGAGGAGGGGGCGTGCGTCGCGCAGATCGTCGCGGAGCCGCGGGAGGAGGAGGAGGCCGGGGCCGCGGGCGAGCCTGCGCTGGGCCGGCCGAGGGAAGCGCGCCGCCGGGGCCGGGGGCGGCGGGGACTCCACGGGAGCGCGCGCGCGGCGGGGACCCCAGGGGCTTGCGGGCGGCAGGGGGAGGCTCGGCGGACAAAGGGGCGGAGGGCGGAGGGCGGAGGGCCATGGCGTCCCCGGCCCCCGCCGCCGCCCGCCCCCGCGCCGCGCCGCCCGCCGTCCCGGCCCGCCCCAGAGCCCCCGAGATGCGCCCCGGAGCCCGCGGAACCGCCGCTCGCGGGGAGGTAGGGCCGGCCGGGCAGGGCAGGGGGGTGCGGGGTCGAGCTGGGGAGGGAAAGGAGAGGAAGGAGGGAACGCGCGCGGAGGGAGGAAACGGCTCGAGCGGTCCGAACCCTGACTGGGGAAGCGGCTCTGCGAACGGGAGCCCGAGTTCCCTTGTGCAGCCGGGGGGCCGTCCCGTCTGGTCGCGGGACTTGTGCAAAGCTCGGTCCAGACGTCCCTCCTGGGCTTGGGCTGACTCCCGGGGCTGAGCCCGGACGCCGCCGTCCCGCGCCTCTGGGACCTGCAGAAACTTGGCAGACCCCCGCCCTGCGCTGTACTGGGTCCCCCGGGGCGCGAGTGTGAGTGTGTGTGTGTGTGTGTGTGCGCGCGCGTGCGCGCGTGAGTCTGCGTGTGTGTGTGTGTGTGTGTGTCTGAGCGACTGTATGTGTGTGTGCTCACGCGTGTATCTGTGTGCGAGTGTCTGTGAGTGCCTGTGTGTGTGTGTGTGTGTGTGCGAGTGTGCGTGCGTGCGTGTAAGCAAGGGGAATCGGCCCCTGAGCACCCGAGCCCCCTTCTCAGCCGTCAGCATTTGCAGTCTTGAGAAAGCAAGAAGGTAAAGATGACGGAATGGTCTTACTTCTTCCACTTTGTCCCCAAGGGTGGAGTTGGGAGAAGATGGAGCCCAGGGGAAGTCTTTTATCCACACAGGACACAATTGTATTAGGAGAGTCACAGAGATCTGGGTGAGACCACGCAGTAGAGCCAGACCTCAGCCGTGGAATCTTGTCCTAGGGGGCCTGGGACAGGAAGCAGGAGGGCTCTCCAGGGGCGTAGATTGGGCAAGGGAAGTGCAGTGACCCTGGCTTAACCAGCTGGTGCTGACTTCCAGCTGCTGTTCAGATGCGATTCAGGGGTGTAACTTCCCCAAGGTTCCAAATGACATGAGGGGTAACAGTGTTATAATAGGCGTGCTACAATAATCGTGTTAGTAAACTCTTACACCCTCTGTGGTTACCACATAAAAGGAGAGAAAGAAATTCCTTCTCTTTGCATCATCAAATACCAGATACCAGAGTGGAGTTGACAGTCTTTGGGTGAGCATCGTGGGATGGAGCAGAGCTCCGAGAGGAAGTGAGTGTGAGTGCGCAAATGTCTGTGTGTGAGCGTGTGGGTCAGAGACAGTTTGTAAGGCCCGGTTATGAAAACGCCGGCGGGAGGGTGGCTTCTAGTCTTTTTTTTGTTTTTTTATTTTTATTTTTTGAGATGGAGTCTTGCTCTGTCACCCAAGCTGGAGTGTGGTGGCTCAGTCTCGGCTCCCTGCAACCTCCACCCCCGGGTTCAAACAATTCTCCTGCCTCAGCCTCCCGAGTAGCTGCAATTACAGGCACCCGCCACCACGCCCCGCTAATTTTTGTGTTTTTGGTAGAGACGGGGTTTCACCATGTTGACTAGGCCGGTCTCAAACTCCTGACCTCAGGTGATCTGCCCCTTGGCCTCCCACAGTGCTGGGATTACAGGCATGAGCCACTGTGCCTGGCCTCCCTTTATTCTGGAAGATTAATAAAATCCTGTGTCATGTATTCTATTCATCCCCTTAAACAGCTCTGTGTGCTAGGCGTGTGTGCTAGACATCAGTGGCACAGAGAGGAATGAGACATCCCCCATCCTTCCAGGAACACCATCCTAGCTGAGTAGTCAGAAAAGTAAAACCAGTCCTGGCCTGGCCTGGCCTGGCTGTGAGGGCTGCATAGCATACAGCTAGGGCAGCCCAGAGGGGAGCTGGTGTAGGGAAGCCCCGCAGAGTAGGTGATGCTTGAGCTAAGCCCTGAAAACTGCCTCACCAAGGAAACAGCTGGGAAGGTTATTTCAGGCTGAAAGAACAGCACATGCAAAGTCACTAAGAGGATCTACCGGAGGCCAGTGAGTGCGTGGCTGCAGGCTGCCGGATGTTAGTGCATCTTGGGGAGGGGTGAGGCGGGGGCTTTCAGGGCAGAGGCATAGGGAAGGAAGGACTCCTTCTGCTTGTGGGGTGGGGAGGCTGGAGGAGGAGGAGACCAAGGCTTTTTGCAACACCCAGGCCAGAATTACTGAGGAGCAGGAGAAGCTGAAAGGATGCCAGAGATCAAGAGGCAGGACCTGGTGACTAGTTTGGGCACAGAGCGTGATAACTTAGACTAAAACCAAGTCAGAAATGCTCAGGAGAAAACAAAGCGGAGTGAAAGGAATGCGGACCTTTTGAGCGGCCTGCGTGTAGCAGATTACAACACTTGGACAACACATTTGGCTGTAAGTTTTCTGGCAGCTTAGGGACAAACAAAAATACACTGGGTTGCATGGTTTGGGATTTTGCACAACAGAAAGCATACAAATTCTCAGAACAAAATTGTTCCTGGAATGGAACTCAACTGGGAATTTATCATGTGGAACTTTATGTAAAGACTAAAGAGTGATATAGAAAAAAATCCTCATTGCTGGTGTTGCAAAAGATGGGAAGATAAAACTCCCATCACTGCCCTCCTCTACTATCCTGTTATGTCTGGGGGACTGAACTGCACTTCCATGAGGGCTGGGTGTCATCTTAGGGTATGGGGTCAGGGGAATCCTGTACAGAGGAGACAGTGGTCCCTCGAGTGCGGGAAGAGCTGTCACCCATCTCTATGAATGTAGAGAGCAAGGCATCTGGGATGCTCAGCCATGAAGAGAAGAAGGCTCATCGTAGTATAGCCCAGAGAGGGGTGGGCTGAGACTCTGGTCTGGAGAAGGGGACAGGTAGGGCATAGCATGTTTGGAAGGGCCAGCATCCAGGAATCCTGACCCCCACGGAAACAGGCAGGGAGAATGGGCACAGCATTGTAGGATTCCATTCATATGGGCAAGTCCACTCTCCAGGGTGGTCCTGGTCTTTCTGCCTCCAGACTTGATGTAGTGCCTCCATCTAAAGGGGTAGGTAGAGGGTGGGACTCAGGAGACCAGAGATCCTCTTCAGGAGACCAGTTTGCTGCAACATGAGGAATTTGCAGAGGAACCAGGAGTGGGAGCTGAGAACTCGGGGGTCCTGAAGACTTAGGCGCAGATCTCCTGGCCAGGCCCTTCCCTTTGGTTTCTGCAGAAGGCAGAAAACCTACAGAATCTATGTCCATATACTGCTAATGTGTTTTAACTCTCAACTTTAAACTATTTCTTGCCAATTATAGCTATCTTAAATTAACATTCAGTTGGTGTGGCATTCTACCCCTCCAATCACATTTCTTAACATTTATCTTGGGGTGCACATTAAAATATACATTTAAATGCTGGGGAGGAGAGTTTGAGACCAGCCTGGGCAACATAGCAAGACACCATCTCTACAAAAAAATAAAAGAGATTGGCCAGGCACAGCGGCTCATGCCTGTAATCTCAACACTTTGGGAGGCCGAGGCAGGCAGATCACTTGAGGTCACGAGTTTGATACCTGCCTGGCCAACCCGTCTCTACTAAAAATGCAAAAATTAGCCAGGCATGGTGGACCATGCCTACAATCCCAGCTACTTGGGAGGCTGAGGCAGGAGAATTGCCTGAACCTAGGAGGTGGAGGTTACAGTGAGCCAGGATTGCGTCACTTCATTCCAGCTTGAGTGACAGAGCAAGACTCCATCTCAAAAAATAAATGAATAAAAGAAATTAACCACACAGTGGCACATGCCTGTAGTCCCAGCTACTCGGGAGACTGAGGTGGGAGGATCACTTGAGCACAAGGAGGTTGAGGCTGCAGTGAGCTGTGATTGTGCCACTGCACTCCAGCTTGGGCGACAGTGAGACCCTATGTCAAACAAACAAAAACAAAAAACAAACAAACCAAAAATGCTGGGGAGGGAGATTTAAAAACAACTGATACTCTAGGTCAATTAAATCAAAATCTCTAAGAGTGGGCCTTGGTGTCAGTATTCTTTTAAGGTCCCCCGACTGATTTCAAGGTACAGCTGAGGTTGAGAGTGGCCGCTCTAACAGTCACCTATAAAGAACCCATCACAGGGAGGGACAGAAACCCAGATTCTAAAAGATCCCAAATGGGGCACATGGGATGCCTCACAGGTCCTCAGAAACGGACAAGTCTGGCCCTGCTTGTGCCTGGTGTTCCACACAGTCTCCTGGGCTCCTGGTCTGGCTGCTTCCCCCCGAGGTCTTTGCCGGCCCTCCTCTGTTCCTTCTGGCAGTCACCTTGCTGAAGACTGGGGGTTAGGAGTTGCTTCCCTGGAGCTGCCCTGGATTGCTCTTTCTTGGAGAGATTCTAGTGAAACTGCTTTTCCATGGGTTCATTGTGCAGCCCCTTTCAGGCCGTGACCTCTCACTGTCCTCACCAGTGCCTCTCTGCCCACACACATTGTTGCTCTGTGACCCCAGGAGCCTGGCCCTGGGCGCTGAGGTCCTTCTTCTGCCGCCTAAACCAGACCGCCTCCACTTATACCCCCGGCTCTCTTGAAATTCCCTGTGCTGGTTACTCAGGGAGAAGAATGCCAGGCCCCATTGCCCCCTTTAATGATCAGAGGCAAGCACTGCCTGGAAGTAGGGCAAGCCATGAGTGAAGTTCTCTACTTTCGATGTGCAAAAGACAGCAACATGCTGGGAAGCCAGAGTCAGACTCTCCTGTACCCTCGCCTTAAAATCGGTGTCTGACGTGGGCAAAAGTTCACTCCATCAGCCCTCAGTTTGCCTGGAAGTTAAGCTCTTTGCCAGCTGGGCACATAATTGCCACTCTGTCTTCAGCTTCTCTTTGGCATGTTTGTCACTAGCTTGCAGTTCAGAGGGGCTAAAAGACAGATAAGCCCAAGACCCACTTTTCCAACTGGCTGAACTATGGGAAACCAAGTGATTGTTTTTTTTTTTTCCCTGGCCTTGAGGGAAGGAAGGGGTGAGTCACCCTTGTAGCAAGCTTGGAGAAGAGGTTAGCTTCCCTCAGTGGCAGGGAACCAGGAGGTTATAGGCACTCCTTCAGAAGGAAATGAAAGCAGGGATAATCAGCTGGAGAGTGGGACCAGGACAGGGA